CTCTATGTTAAATGTGCCCATGCAAGGTTGTTAAAATTGCTGCATTATCCTAGGGTTGGGCCTGTGGTTGGGTCCCGTCCCCCGCAGCAGCTTGGGATCCACTCACCTAGCTGTGTTGTCTCAGTTTATATCCAGTTTTTTTCTTTTTTAAAGATTTATTTATTTGTGTATACAGAATTGGGGTACAGGTCAGAGGCTCAGGGGTGGAGAGGGTGTTCACCAAAGACAGAGTGGGGAGCAGAACAGGCAGATCGACGAGGTACACTGCTGAGGGGAGCAGCAGGCGGGTCAGGAGAGGTCTGCCATGCCATGTGGTCACCTCCGGGGCTGACGAGAATCGAACTCATGTGGAAGTGGCTTTAGCTTCTCAGTGCTGTGCTCTAACCCGCTGCGCCACCAGGGAGGGCCTGTGTTTGCTATTTCTAATGCCTTATTTGATGAGCTTTCCATTCTCATGGTTTGTTCTTTTTAACTCTTCATTGTACTGGGGAATTTGGCACCCTGGTCTTTTTGGAGTAAGTACCATGTGAGGCTATATGTGTGATCACCTTTGGGGAGTCAGCAGTGGAGTGAAGTGTTTAGGTTTTGCAACAACTGCTCAACGTATTCAGTGACCAGTGTCCCGTTCTGAAATTGAGTTTTGAAGGATTGATGGTTAGGTTATGGCCCTGTGGAAGTGAAGGCCTCCTCAAGGAAACTAAGTTTGTTGGAATTGTCACAAGGTGGCTGTTTTACATAATTGATTTCCTCTCAATTATAAAAGTTTTAGTCTTTATACTTCTATTAAAGATGATAAAAGACTAGTAAAAAACATAAGAAAAATATTTAGAGCTATATATCTTATTTCATTTCTTGCTCTCATATGGTAAATGTTTCACTTGACATGGCTAGTATCTGTTTCTCTTGGTCATCAGATTGCCCCCAACGATGAAGCTGTGGTGACACTCTTGTGTGAATGGGCTGTGAGCTGTAAGCGGTCAGGCAAACACAGGGCGATGGCTGTGGCGAAACTCTTAGAGAAGAGGCAAGCGGAAATCGAGGCAGAGGTAAGTATACTTTTCCTTCTTTTTTTTTTATGATTTATTTATTTATGCATACAGAACTGGTGTACAGGCCAGAGGTCCAGGGGCAGTGAGAGGATTCACAGAGACAGAGTGGGGAGCAGAACGGGCAGATCGAAGAAATATACTGCTGAGGGAAGCAGTGGGTGGGTCAGGAGGGGTCTGCCATGCTATGTGGGTCACCTCTGGGGCTGGGGGTCAAACTCGCAACATAGTGACTACTGCTGGCTTGCAGTGCTGTGTCCCAACCCATTGCGCCAACAGGGAGGGCCCTGGTTTTCTTTCTAATTGTTGAATGCAGTCAATTAAAAATACTATTTTGGGGAGGAGTCTTTTTCCTCCCCTATTTTGTTTTCTTTTGAAGGAAAAAGGGAAAAACATATAAATTCATACAAGTATTCCATAGCATCATTCCTCAGTGTTGATGAAGCCAATAATTTGTTTTCTGGAGTAATTTAAAATTGAATGTATTAAAGCAAAAGTTTACCAACTGATTTAAACAGAGAAATCTCCCTTTGTGGGAATAAGGTACACATACCCATATACACATACATATTCTGTCATATATATTTGTACACAGATTTATAAATTAAATATATATAACATACACCAAACTTTATGAATTTGAAAGCTATACAGTATTTCTGGATCTGGAAGTACTTTCTTGAGGCAGTTTTGGCTATTAAAGATACCAGTTTGTATGAATTTTTGCTATTGTGTCCTGGCTGCAAGGAAAGGATTAAAGACCTTGAAGTAGATTATAAAGGAAAAGAACAAAGTTAACCTAATTAACATTAACGTTTGTGAGCTGTCTTTTCTGAAATGAGATTTAGTGGGAAGGGCTCTGAAAGGTATGTTAAGATCTGATCAAGTTCTGTCATCTCTATTGGACAATAGCAGTTTCTTCAGCTTGTGTCTCTGGCCTTTCCTGTTCCCTACTGATCCCCTAGACAGCAGTGAGAGTCACGTGTGTGTGTGTGTGTGTGTATAATTAAAATGCAGACAGCTGACATTGTCTCTTGACTAAAAGTCAGTGTCCTTATTCTGGCCCCCATGAGCTGTCCCTGTTGCCTTTCTACCTTGTCTGCCACTTTACTCCAGCTGCTCTGTCCTTCCAGTCCCTTTAACACACCAGTCTCACTTTTCTCTTGGGGCCTTTTCTCTTGCTATTCCTTCTGGGTATCACAGTCTGCTCCCCAGTTTTTATTTACATTCCTATTTCACAGAATGTCATTTCTCTTACAGCATTTTTTAGCTTCAGTGTGCGTTACCTTTCGGGAAGATTTCTCTCACCATCTTACTGAATTAGCACTTAGTCAGCCTTCCTTCCATCACTGTTTTCCTTTCCTTCTGGGCTAATTGTTGAATGCCTGAGAGCAGGGAGCCCACCCACCCTGTTCAGTGGCACCCAGAATGCACAGTAGGTGATCAGAAAAAAAGTTTTTTTGGGGGGGGCAGGGAGGGGCTGAGCGAGAGACTGCAACTAATATCTATTGCCTTGGGCTTCAAGTGGCCTCTCTCTGCCATTGGCTTCTCATTATTCACTAAATAGACCCACTTAGCCTCTCTACCCCGTGGCTGCCATCTTCTCAAGTGAAGCTGAAGTTGAAGTCTTTTTGAAATGTTGTATATATTTTACATCATTCCTCATTTTTTTTATTATTGGCTATTTTTTATTATTTTTATAACAGTTTATTTTTACATCATTTTGTACATTTTTTTTTTCCATCTCAATTGTAATCCCCACGGGTTTCCTATCCAAAAAATGTTTTTTATATGAATTGGGACCTAGTGGTCTTGATACCAACAACTCCCTGATTTCCAGTGAAGGTATTAAAAACTAAGATAGGAAGATGATTTTCAAGGTGTCTTTTGCACCCTGTTGGGGTAGTATTTGCAACTGCAAAAAAAAAAAAAATCTTATTGGAACCAGTACTTGAAGATACTGATTTTTTTTTTCTTTAAATTTGCATTTTCAATGAAGTTTTACATTAAAATTTTAAAAATTTTATTAAAGTGACAGTTTAAAACAGTGTAAGTTTCAGAAGTATAGCATATACACATCTATAATTCACCATCTGTGTATACTACATTGTGATCTTCACCAGAACTTTAGTTCCCAAATAGTTCACCCTCTTCACCCAATGTACCCTCCTCTCACCCCTTTGCTCTATATCAACCTCATTTTGTTCTTAAAATCTTCTAAGTTTTTGTTTTCTTTTTTAAAATTGAAGATAACTGATCTTAAAGTGTAAACCACATGGTCCAATTTACAGTGTGCAAAATTAGGAAAAATTGATTTTTATGCATCTTTATGAACAGACATTTTTTAGTAATCATTCCATTAATAGACTATTAATTGTAATGATTAAACTTAAGAAATTAAAATTAAGTTTTACAACTCTTATTGATTCGTCTGAGTTGCTGCTTTTGTCCATCCTTTCCAACCACGTGTCCCAGAACACACACACACACACAGTTAATTTTAGAAGAGGCTCACATATAGGTCACTTAATAATCTTCAGATATGAATGCATTCATATCTAAAACTTCAATATATTTATTAAGGTTTAGCAATGTTTCTGCTTAAGATAATTGATGCATGTTAAGTATTTTGAAAGTTAGATCTTTATAAACAGAGGCTGGAATAAAGGAATAAAAGCTTAATATTCAAGAATAAATCATGAAAGTGCTTCTAATTCTTCTGTTCTAGTAAGTTCTGTCTTTAAGAATACAGAAGTCAACCAGCCATTCTATATGTGTTTTATGAATTATGGAGACTCTAGGATTTCCTCAGGGATCACACTGTTGAAGTGTGATGAATAAGTGAAGGAATCTCTCTACAGGAATTAAGCTAGATTTCTGATTCAACACTACAGTTCCCCAAGTATACTACTGAACAAATTCACCTGACAAAAATCAAATGTATACACATATTTCTCAGGGGGAATCTCTTTAAAAATGAACACAACTTTTTAGCACTTTTGCTTAAGGAGAATAAGTAGTTTATTGTACTGTGCTGGTATATTTTATGGGTATGCATTATGTACAGAGTTTATCATTTCCATGGGCAATGTTTTTACTGGTGTTCTTTGAAATGTTCTGGGCTAATTTTCTCTGACTTTTGGAAATTATATTTATTTGAGGGTTTGAACCCAAAATGGTAGAAATCTCAATAAATTTTACACATTTTATCTGGGACATAAATATTAGTTAAAAATATTAGCTCATGACCTATTGTAACTGTACTTGCCCTCTATAATTAACCATGTTTGTTTATGTTGAATCTTAGAGATGTGGTGAATCAGAGGTCTTAGATGAGAAGGAATCCATTTCCTCAGCCTCTCTTGCTGGATCTAGTTTGCCTGTTTTTCAGAATGTTCTGCTAAGATTTTTAGATACACAGGCCCCCTCATTATGTAAGTAAAACTCTGCTTCTACATCTTAAAGAAGGGATTTTCTTCCACTGATTTTTTTTCATATTTGTATTTTATCCAAAGTTCTTGTCACTGAATATATTGTATATTTGACAGAATAAAGTTTGTAGCCTGTTCCCAATGGAGATATTTATGCCATTTTGAAATTAGGCAATCTTCAAAGATTTAAAAAATTCCACAGTTTAATAATTAAAAGAAGTCACCTCATTCCCTTATAGTTAGTGGACTTATTTTCCCTTTTTAAATCTTATCAAAACAGAGGAACTAAGTTCCTGTGGTATTTCACTGTACATTGTGATACAGAATTTCTCTTTTTAAAATGTTTTCTCAATTACTGGTTCTAATCCTTGTTTTTAAAAGTGGGGAAAAATGAAAAGTACTCTATAATAAGTTTCTTACTACAAGAATAATGTTGTGTGGGCTGGCTAGCCGTTTGCCTGTTCTCTCAGCTTTGCATTCTTTTATTGTTGGTGGGGAGTGCACAATTTGAGGAATTAAGTACCCCCTGAATGGGTCTGAGTTCAGATATTGATGGGACAACAGGAAATTATCAAAAACTGGAAAGTGACAGAAAGGGGGGAAATGAACAGAGATTCAGTGAATGGTAAATGGTGCATGAAATAATAGTGCTTTTGATTCCTCTGAGGCACCCTTATTTTTGGATGGAGTAACTTATTGGGATGAGGTTCTTGGGAGACAAGGGCTTTCTCTTTTAGTTATTTGATGGATGCTTTAGGCCAGAAGGTGAGCCAGAGTCAGAACCAATCTGTTGTTTTGATGTAAGCAATAGTAATGAAATGTAGGAAAAGAAGCAGAACAATGTAAGGATAGAGGAGATCCCAAGTGATAAAAAATACAGTCAGGAGTAGAGATAAGCTCTCATGTCCTTTGAGAAAGTACACATTTCTCCTACAAAGACATAGACCAAACTTAAGTTATAAGGAAATGGTGATGAGTTATTTTAATGATAAAAGCAGAGGTAAGTAGACTATCTCTGCATTATTTTAAACTGAAATATTGTGTTTTTACATTATTATTTAAATGCTTCTTCTTTGTCAGGGACCACTGTCTTTCAATTTGACATTGCATTTAGCATACTAGATATGTTTTTCAGTAGTCAAGAATTGAGCAGTTTTTCACAAAGTGCTGGTGCTTCATAGTAAAACTTCCAATGACTGTTCTGTAAAAAAATAAATGAGAAGTAGTTAAAATACTGTTACACTTTATTGTTTGATTGTTATTTCAACTAGGCTACGGAGGCTGAATACTTGCTTGAATTTGTTTCTTTATAGCGGATCCAAACAGTGAATGTGAAAAGGTGGAATTTGTCAATTTGGTGCTGCTCTTCTGTGAGTTCATCCGCCACGATGTCTTCTCCCATGATGCCTACATGTGCACCCTTATATCTCGAGGGGACTTGTCAGTTGCTGCCTCCACTCAGCCTCAGTCACCAGCAGGAGAAAATGCAGATGAACACTACCCCAAGGACCATGATGTAAAAATGGAGGTATGGCATGCGGAGTGGCACCCCGGCCCTTGGAACTAAATTCTCCTGGGGAGCTACTTTTAGAAGTGTGTTTGGTGGTAGAAGGGTTATCACTTTTTAGTTGTCTTCTTTTGTATTGAAGTATTTATCTCTACTCCTCATGCAAGAAAGATATTTGGACAATAACTCACATATTCCAGAATATTCTTTTGAAGAATTCTTTGGATACTCTGCAAATATTAATGGAAAGATTTTTCCATGAAATTTTTCATTGTATTAGAATTATGTGCTTACAATTTTATGTATTTCTAAGTTTCCAGTTTCTTTAAGATTGTGTTTCAAAACTAGACTTGTTTTGGCCCTAACTTCCTGGCTCACTTTTCATTCTATGAAGCATCTTTTTTCCGTTGTGTCATTTTATCACATGTAAAGGGAAAATTTCTTTTAGTCTTTGCATTTCATATTTCACTTCAGTTAATTAAAAAATTTATATCTCTACTGTTGTAGCTTTTTTTAAAAAAAGAAAGTATTCTGTGTGGCCTTTTAATTTACTGCCATTTTATAATTACTTATGGAAATTTTCAAGGCAGAAATATGAAGGTGGTGATGGCTAATAGTATAAAATAGTGAGAAACTGTGATCATTTCTTAAAAATAAAACCTTGGTTCTCTTGAGAGTTGAAGCATAAACGTAATACCGTTTCAGTAACAGTAATGATAATATTTCTGAAACAGTATTCTAAAAGCTGGCATTGGAATTGGATCTATAGTTCGTATTCTTTTAATATTTGTTGACCAAATGGTGCAAGAATTGAAAAAAAATGATTCTTCAGTGTAAATATTCTTTTTTCAAATTGTCCACTGTAGACATTATAAATGGTAAAAATTGAAGTTTCTTTACCTGTTTCTGCTTTTTCTTTTCTGTTCTTAGATATCAGGGTATCTCAGTGTCTTAGAATGTCTTCATATACTTTTTTCTTATACATTTCTTATTAAGAAAAGTTGATGGACAAATGATTGGAAATAGTTCAAAGAAATTATGATCAGTTTTTTTTTTTTAAATTTATTTATTTATCCATACAGAACTGGGGTACGGGCCAGAGATGCGGAGGGTGAGAGGATTAACCAGGGACAGAGTGGGGAGCAGAACAGGCAGATCGACGAAGTACACTGCTGAGGGGAGCAGCAGGCGGGTCATGAGAGATCTGTCACGCAATGTGGATCTCCTAACGGGCAGGCGGGGATCGAACTCATGTGGAAGTGACTTAAGCTTCTTAGTGCAATGCTTTAACCCGCTGCGCCACCAGGGAGGGCCCATGATCAGTTTGTTTTTAATCAGGCAGTTTTTTTGTTCTTCCTTTAAAATATTATACAAGTTAAATCATTGAACTCATTGTGAGGACATAAAATGTGACATTGCACAGCAATGCCTGTCTTAATACTCCCTTTTCTTTTATGGGGGAAAAAGACACTAGGAAGAAAAAAGATACAAGGTGGTTAAAAATGTCACCATCATGCTTTCATTTTAATTTCTTAATAAGCTACAAAATTTACAGTGTGATTTTCTTTTTCTGGTGATTATCAGGAACAGACCATTATGGCGCATATGGGCATTGACTCAGGAACCACTAATATTTTTGATGAAGTAGACAAGAGTGACTTTAAAACTGACTTTGGTTCGGAATTTCCAGTAGGTTCAACTTTGAATTCTTACTATTAACCTCCTTTTCCCAAAACCCAGCTCGTCTCTCTCCTTTTGTTTCTTGCTCCATGTACTAGAATGACTTGTGTATTTGTGATATGTGTGTGTGATCCTACTATATACTACCCAGAGACTCTCATCTTGTGTTGTTGTGTCCTTTCAGCTCACATTCAGTGTTGGTTGCATCGCTGCCTTTGTAAATTATAACACTTCTGCTTTCCTGTCCACTGTCTGTGATTCTCTTTCATTTGAGATCATTACACGTCAGGAAGACATGAGTGTAGTTTCATCATGAGAGTCTATGTTGAATTACTGTGATTATATTCAGCTGCTATATAGCAGCTTACCTTGCTCTGGACTTGTTTTCAGTCATAAATTCTTCTACTTTACCTTGGTATAGTTACTGAGTATTCTTCCTTAAGGATCTTAATGTGTTACTTTATAGAGGAAAAAAAAAGTAGCACTGTTTGGGGTGTAGATCAGTCACTTTTTGTCTAATCATTAATTTTATTAGTTAATTATTTCTGTGTATTTTTTTTTGTAGGAAATGTAGCCCTATGAGGAAGATGCTTAAACTCTATGTCTGATTTTTATCTCTGACTCTCTGCATGTGTGTGCCATTTCATCTTCAAAATGGGGATCATGTACATAGATTCCTACTGATCTGAATATAAAGTTTCTAGCAATGGATACAATTTCTTTATATAGTATACTCAGTGGTTAAATAAGTTCCTGGTGTGTTTTAAGTTTTTATATGCAACATTATAGTGTAGTTTTGCTCTGTTTCATTTACAGTCTCCAATATTTGTTTTACATGACTTAGATTTTTTCTCCCATGCCTGGAGAGTCCTGTGAGAATGTCAATGCTTCCTTGGGCAGAAGATTGTCTGTTAATGGTGAGAAGTTGCTGAAGAGAGAGAAACCAAGGGAGTTAATTTTTCCATCTAATTATGACCTTCTACGTCACCTGCAGTATGCAACCCATTTTCCCATACCTCAGGTGAGTCATTACTTCCATTGGTTGACAATTATTTCATTGTAGGGTCATTAACTCTTGATTATTCTGCTGCTTGATGGAACAATACATAGGATAGTAGGTCAGGTTATAATTCTGATCATAGTGCATATGTAGAGATGTAGTCCAAATTTGGGGTGTGATGCTACTAGCTAGCTAGATTTAATGGAATTTTCTATATTAGTATTATTTAATCAAGAGCATTTGTGTCACTGTAAACAATGTCTAAGTATGTTTTCCTATTTCAATATGAAAGTCATTTTCTGTGTAGATTTTTTGTGCACAGTACTTTTGGCATTATACAGATGAGTAAGAATTTTGGGGCACAGGAACGATGAATAAGATAGGAGGGAGACAAGTGTCTATAAAATGATTAAGTCACTAAAATAAGTGCAGTAATAGTTTACTAGAAAGTAAACCGTTTGACATTCTTTGAAGGTGTAAATGTTATAGGTGAGAGAGGCCCTGTAAGATTGGGTAGATTTCATAGATGTGGTTGTATATGAGGCTTGTACATGGACTTGGATTTTTTTGATTAAGATTTATTTATTTATGCACACAAGAACTGGAGTGTAGGCCAGAGGTTTGGGGGTTGTGGTGGTGAGAGGATTCACCAGAGACAGTGGGGAGTAAAACAGATCTACTGAAATACATAGCTGAGGGGAGCAGTAGGTGAGATGGGAGAGGTCTTCTGTGCCATGTGGGTTAGCTTCCTGGCTGCAGATTAAACTCATGCAGCAGTGGCTGGCAATAACTTGATAGCGCTGAGACTTTAACCCCTGTACCATCAGGAGGTCCTGAACTTGGATTTTGACCTGTAGAATTAAAGAACTGGATAGCACATGAGAAATACTTGCCAGGCAATTAAATGTTTGAGTCATAATAGTTATCTGTTTCATTCTTAGGGGCAACAAGATTGGTTCTATGATAATAATAATGAAAATTAGGTCAAAATCTTTTTTTTTTTTTTTATTTCTTAAGTTTACTATTTTCCTGGAATTTTGAATATGATTTCAATGATTTATCTTCATTGAATATTACTACCATTATTATTATTGTAATAAAAACATAATTGTGGGATAAATTTTGTTATCCTGGGTCTCTTTTAGAAGGTTTTATCTACAAACTAAATATTTTCTTAAATTTATTTATTTTTTATTATTTTGGAAGGTCCTGTGAAAAATTTCAAAATCACTGTATCCATTTATTATCTTTTGCCATTAAGGACCCTTATTTGGGTTCTTTTATGTTTGGGAGCTATGCCAAAAGTAGCCAAAATATTTTCCTGTCCATAACTGGCTGAATAGATTGATATTTTCCAGCAGTTATCTGTAAGCATCATTCATCTTCAACCTGGTAGAATTTTCTCACTGTTTGTTTAGGGGATCAGATATAGTTGTCTGGTATCTTTTTTTTTTAAGATTTATTTATTTATTTGTACAGAACTGGGGTACAGGCCAGAGATAGGGAGGGTGAGAGGATTCACCAGAGACAGAGTGGGGAGCAGAACAGGCAGAGCAACGAAGTACACTGCTGAGGGGAGCAGCGGGCGGGTCAGGAGAGGTCTGCCACGCCATGTGGATCTCCTACCCAGGGCAGGCGGGGATCGAGCTCATGAAGAAGTGGCTTAAGCTTCTTTGTGTTGTGCTTTAACCCACTGCGCCACCAGGGAGGGCCGTGATCTGGTATTTTTAAGGATACATCCTGAAGACATTTTGATGAACTTTAAAAAATACGTATTTATTTATTTATGCATACAAGAACTGGGGTGTATGCCACAGGTACAGGGGGTTGAGAGAAATCATCAGAGACAGAGTGGGGAGCAGAACAGGCAGACTGACAGAAATACATAACTGAAGGGAGCAGCAAACAAGACAGAAGAGGTCTGCTGTACCATGTGGGTTAGCTCTCTGGCCAGCCAGGGGGTCAAACTCCTATTGAACTGACTAGGGATAGTTTGATAATGCTATATCTTTAACCCCTGCACCACCAGGGAGGCACTGATGAACTTTCTTGATGTCTAGGAGTTGTTTTAATGTTAATTTCCTAGTTTTGATAGATATATTATAGTTATTGAAGGCTTCAACATTCAACCCTGACTCAAAGGGTATGCAGTTACTCTGTACTGTCTGTGTGACTTTTCTGTAAATTATTCCAAAAGAAAAATGTTTATTTAAAATAATAAGGAAAAAAGAAGGAAGAGAATAATGGAGTCAAAATGGCAAGTGTTGAAAGTCATAGGGGTTCCCTGCTTCCTCTGGCTGAGCAGAGTTTTACAGGTCTCCCTCTTAATTGTATCTTCTTGTGGGAGTGGCTGCTACCCACAGGTAAATTCCTTTGTTCTGTTGTTCATGTGAACCTTGGCTGCACAGTCATTCACAGCATTTAGTATTTTAATGAGTGTTTACTTCCTTAGAGGAAATAGCATGATAATTTTGAATTACTATATCATGGTAATTTAACTGTAGTTCAACCATAAAAGAAATACTAAAATTTGATATTGTAGGCTGCAGTTTTTCAATAGTCTTCTACCACCAGTTGCCCTGAAACCCCTTTTTTGTGAGCATAATTTAGAATCAAAACAAAAGGCTAAATAATATGGCAGTGATATTTGGAATGCTGGAGAGAGTGTTTTCCCCTTTCTCAATATAAAAGGAAAATTTATTATAGTGCATGTGAGGTGACTATAAGAACATGATTAAAAAAGAAAATAAGGGCCCTCCCTGGTGGCACAGTGGGTTAAAGTGCAACACTGCAAGCTAGCTGCAGCCGCTTCCTTGCCTGCTAGATCTCTGGCCCCCAAGGTGATCCACATGGCGCAGCAGACCTCTTCTGTCTCGCCCACTGCTTCCCTCAGCAGTGTACTTCATCAATCTGCTTGTTCTGCTCCCCACTCTGTCTCTGGTGAATCCTGTCACCCTCTGCACTCTGGCCTGCACCCCAGTTCTGTATGCAGAAATAAATAAATCTTTAAAAAAAATAAAGAAAATCAAAACTCCAAGATATTATTCTAATGAATGGAAACTGAGGAGCGAAAGGACTAAAAGGTATTTGACCTAACGATTCACAATAAGAAATTAGTTTTATATATGATGTTACATAAGCAGTGTCTCATTCTGCCCATCAGTAACACATGATCTTAGACTACAACAAGTGCTGGTTCTGGTTTGCACATAACCTACCAGCTGTGCCTCAGGTAAGCTGCTCATGTTCTTTATCAAACTAGTGATGGTGACAGGAGTGCCTGTTATTAATATTATTAGTACTTATTTAACATTATGTAAATTTTATAATAGGTAATTATTTTGTGCCTTTTAAAAATTATTTTCTCAAACTCAGAGAACATAGATAGGGTTAAGTTTCAGAAAGTTAGTTTCTGTGTTTTCCTCAACACTGAAGTAAAAATAGCTTTGGAATCAAACTGTTTATTAACTATCATTAATAGTTCTTAATCATTGCAGCAAATGAAAATATATTGTCAATTGTTTTAGTTTTGGCTATTGAAATGAAAATAAAAACAGGGTCTCATGCATATTTATCTGAACTTTTCCATCTTTTTTCTGAATATGTCTCTACTGCATCACTAACAGTGGAAAGAATTTGATCAAAGGAGGGGAATTCACATGAACAGGGGTCACATTTTCTTTAAAGCTGGCAATAGTGATATTCATCAGCATGTGACTTTCTAACAAGAACTGGCTCAAAGGAGTGTCATGCCAATTTTAAGACTATTCTTTAGTGCTATTTTTCTGTACCTTTGATGTGTGTTTCTAGTTCCAAATAAGTTATTTTTAGCAGTTAGTATAATTTAGCAACTCCTTTAAAAATGTTACAGGGTCTGTTTCATATTACTGTAAAGTAAAAATAATAAGTCACTAGTTTTGTCATTAATGGCAGTAAAATATCTTTATTTATAAATCTACAATGGGAATATAAGCATATATTGTATGTGAAAAATATAAATATATTTCTAACATTTATTAGATATAAAATTTTTAGTTACTATGTTAGCAAGTAACTAGATATTACAAATTGAAGGAATAAGGTAAAAGGTTATCTCTGAGGTGATAGATTAAGAAATCAGGCATTGGCGATTTCTTATAAAAAATCCACTGGCCTTTTTTTTTTTAAAGTGATCTAAAGGGCTTTAAATTAAGGGCTTTAAATTTTGTTGTTGACATTTCTAGCAACTTAATGGAGGTTATTTTGCATATTTCTATCAGAAGTCAGTTTCAGGCATTAAATAAATTCTCTGAGTCTCTGTCATAGACGCCATTTGAATTTCAAGGATATTTCAGGGTTTTACCTTATTTAGCAAGATTTAAATTTTTTTTTCATGCAAATAATTGGAAAAGGAGCATCAACAACCACAAGATGATTCTTCACATGCACCTTTTTCACATGCATGATTTCTAAGTCAAGCAGACCACATTTACTAGTCTTTTCTCAAGTTCTTTTTTCTTTTTCTATGTATTTTTCTACTTATCATCCAGTCAGTCAAAAAGTAATAGTAATAGTATGATGATTTCATAATTTATTCCTTGTCTTCACAACTTGATTTTTCTTCCTTAGTCTTCATCTCCGTATTTGAAGTGAAAGTCTCAGTGAATTTCAGGCGGAATGATTGTGAGAGATGATAGTATAGTATTGGATCAAAACAGAGGTTTGATACAGCCAGGAGCAGAGTGGCCTCTTTGGCTTTGAAGAGAGAAATCCTGGTCGGACAGTCAGTTATGACTTCTGTCTGACTCAGGGTGTATGGGATTCGAACAATGTGATAAGGAACAAAACATATGACATAGGCACCAGTCACTAAGAGTATGTTGATGAGAGCTCTTTTCACATTTGGATAATTTTCATTATCTTTGTTTTTGTACAGCTGTCGAATCACGAGGCAGTTAGATATTAAAATGATGACTGAGAAATTTAAAAATATTGCTAAACTTAAGAAATTTGTCAGCAAATGCCAATTTCTCCCCAACTCCTGTTTGAATTCCATGCAACCCACATTTGGCTTTTCATCAATATGTTTGATGGGGAGCATTATGTTTGGCACCATTATAAGAAGGATCATTAGCCACACAACTGTAGATATCATTTTGGCAAATCCAGGTTCTTGTATTCGATAAATTTTGTAGCTGTGTGTCAACTGAAGACAGCGATCAATGCTGACAAATGCTAGGAAGATAATTGATAAGTACATATTAATGTAGATGAGGCAGGCTGTTACTTGGCAGTGGAATATCCTTAGCTTCCAGGGTGCCACACCCAGGTCAACAGTGATTTTTACTGGTAAAGCCAGAGTGAGTAGAAAATCGGCTGTAAGCAGATTAATTAAGTATATACTTATACACTTCTGATTGATAGTGTTCTGTTTGAAAGTCCAAGCTGCAAAACAACTTCCAATAATTCCAACAAGGAAAACTAAATAAAAGAAATATGGGAATGGCTTCAGAACATTGTAAACTGGGCAGGAGAGAGAGCTGTTTGTCATCTTGAGGAAAGTAAGAATGGTGTGTCAGTAAAAATAATCCACAGTATCTGTGAAAATAAAGGAGAGGTTGTTATTAAAATTAGAAATTGTCTTCTTTAAAAACATTTGCATTTATAATACCATGACCTTTTTATTTCTTGGACTATTATTGGTGAATTTATTAGAGTTTGTGGACTGGTTGGAAAATTCAGATGAGGAAGTCTAAGTTTTCCCTAACCTGTCTTTGTGATTTGGGGAAATCCCATGTAGATTTGCTTCTCTGAGGGATATTTTTGACATCACAGTTTGCATTATGACAGGTTTTTTTTTTTTTAAACTAGTCTGTTTGAACATTTATTTTCAGAGGAGATAAGCAAGCAGAAATTCTGAGAAACAGAGGAAGCTAGGGTAAAATGGTTTGGTTGTGGTTGAGCTTGAAGAGATTTCAGTGAGGCTATCTGTCGCAGTTTTCATAGATTCATAGAACTCATCATACTAGATAATCTTGGCTGAGAGGGGATGGAAAATTCTACTAAAATTCAAAAGTAGTTTCTTTTTTGTGTAACAAAAAACATTTTCACAAGGAAATTTTTTTTTCACTTTGGTAGAACAAGTTGAAGGATTAGACTCAGTTCTTAACATTGATGCTTGTTATTTTTCTTTTCATAGCTCCCTTTTCGTAATGGTATAGATGTAATAATCCAGAGTAGGTGGAGCCACATGTGGCTAGTGAGCATTTGAAGTGTGGCTTTAAGTACACAATAAACACTTGGTTTTAAAGACTAGTACAAACTATTATAAAAATAGTACAGATATTACAGATTATATTACTTTATGCAAATAGAGTAAGTAAAATATCTCACCTGTACTTTTAATTTGAACACATGTTGAATGAAATATTTTTATATATTAGGTTAAATATATTATTAAAATTAATTTTTCCTGTTTCTGATTCTTTCTAAAGATAGCTTTAAGATACTTTTCTCACTTGTATTTCTGTTGGACAGTGCTTATGTAGATGTTTCCATGTCAGTACTTTTGAGAAATTTACAAGAAGGTTTCTAGAACAAAGATATGTGATCATTTGTTAGAAAATTCAAATAGAATGCCAGAGTTCAGAGATATACTCTTAAAAACATTGTGATTGATACTGATAAGAGTAGATTTTTGTCCCCAGATCTGGATCTCTGTGGGTTTTATAAACTCAAGTTAAAGTGCTGGGGTTTTACTTATTCCCTTTGACTTGGTCTTGTCGGACTCACTCTTAGGGCTGCAGCCACTTTTTTTTGGTGCTGCTTCTGGCTGTATAACCTAGCCTTCATAGCAGATGCCTTTTTTGTGTAGTTAATTGGCCAGAAGACTAGTGTTGGGTTTTTTTGAAGGAAAAATTGATATATGTTGTTTTTAAAATACAAATAGTAAAGATAGGGATTTACGCAGACACCAAATAAGAACATTCTCCGAACTTCCCTTTTAAAACAAACTTCTGAGCTCATCTAAGTTATGATTTTCCTGATTTTTTAATGATCTATTAATTATATGAAACAATATGCCTGTGGTTTGGGAAGGCAAATGTATGTAAGACTTTGTACATTAAAGTGCATTTTAAAGGCACATGTCCCTCCCATTTCCTTACTTGAGTCAGGAGTTCAGGATATATGAATAATGTCATTCTGTACTAAACTCAATGAAAATACTGTCTGGTACTGTGCTACCTACTTTATATGTATTTATTTAATCTTGAGTCAATTCTACATGTAGGTGTTTTCAATCGTTATTTTACAAATGAGAATACTGATGCATAGTAAGGTTAAACAACACCCAAGAGTTTGTAGCTGGTAAATTGTAGAGGCAGGATACCAACCCAGACAGTCTGATATCAGAAGTCACATACTGAGCACTGAGAGCTTCTCAGTAATGATATTAGTGATGACCATAATAACGATGATGATTGTACACATCAACTGTGACTATGTGGCAGGAACTATTTGCTAAACAACTTTCATGTAAAAGAGCAGAAATAAAATACTTATTCTTAATTTTCTTCCTAAACACCAATAAAAAAAGTTGAAACTTAATTATTTTGATATTTTTTTCTTTGTGTATGTGTGTGTTAAAAAATCAAATATATCCTTAAATCTAAACTTCCTTTACTTTCAAAGTTCCTCTGACCTAATCCCTCCATATAACCCCCCCATCTTAATTCTTTCTCTAATTTTTGATTTTTTTTTAAGAACACACTTATTCAGCAGCATCATCAGACTATTCCAATTGACAATTAACAGCATGGGTGCAAGAAAAACAAAACTACATTATAACCCTTGGAATGCTTTACACTTTCCACAAAGCAGAAACTAAAATAAACTCTTATATAATTAGTCATAAATACCATCCTCAAATTTTCTTGCCCATACACATGCGAATTGTCTAAAATACGCCTTTTGTAGCAGCTAGGCCCTGCCACCATGGAGCTTGGCTCAGTACAACAAATCTGTTGTAACCTGCAGCTTCCCCTGTCACTTTTCTGTTTCTCTTCTGTTAAGCTATGTTTCCTGGCAGTTAGTTAAAATCTGTCACTGCTATAGCTGCTGCTGCTGCTGCAATAACCAGTGTTCTTTGGTTTTGTGGTTTGGTGAAATACGGCCTCTACCACTATAGAGATCAGTGTTTTCTCCTTTCATGGGTCCAAAACTTGAAAATTGACTATTGCACTTGCCCAAATAATTACAGCTTCCACCACCTCCAAAATTATTTTCATCATTACCAAGTCCATTCTAGCCATCCCCATTGGTGCCATATTTACCGTCACTTCTCCCACTAGGTCGTCTACTTCTACTGTTCCTTCATGATCATTATCATTCCCACCAAACCACTTGCACACATACCACAAATGTTTTCAGAACCATTTTGACCTCTTTGGCTGGATGAAGCCTGTGGTCATTGCTTGCTTATAATGGGCTTTGCTCATTTCACAGTTGTGGACATTCACAGTATGATATTTCTGAATGATTGGTTTGCTTATAGAATGATGGAGATCACAGTTTATAACAGCAAAGCCTCTTTCTTGCTGCTGCCTAAGTCAATCAGGATTTTAATCACATCAGTTTTCCTGTACTATTCAAAATCACCTTAGGTGATGGTCAGTGTTAATGCCACCAGCAACAATCTTTTTTCACAGTTAAGTGGGCACTGGATCTTTGAACCATCTTTGATTCCACCACTCTTCCATTCACCTTGTGTGGCCTTGCATTTATGGCTGCATCCTCCTCCTCCACCATGGCGTGAGTAACAAACGTGGCTTTTTGGTCTTTGGGTTTCTCTTTTCCTCAGTGAGCATTCTCCGTAGCTCAAAATGGCTTCTCAGACGCTCATCAATTGTTTCAAAGCTGGAAACACCAGTGAATAGCTGTTCAGAACAGCTGTTCTGGCTCCTAGCGGTCTCTGACTTAGATATGATTATCGTAGAGGAGGAGATTTTTCTGATGCTTACTTGGCGGCATCCAAAAGCAGCCAACTCTCTAGATTAGTGCGACCTGTAGTGTTCTGCAAACTGTTCCTCCTTAGTACTTTTGGTTCTGATAAAATTTAGGGTCATAATATGTCAAGGATGGAGGGAACTTTTATTGACAGCATCTAGTCCAACTCCAGAGTTGTTGGAGGAGAATCAGGTCTGGCACTTGGATGTTCCTCAAGATTTCACAGCTTTTTAGAGCAGTGTAGGATCTTATTGATATTTTCTAGAGTCTCTATTTTTATCCTTCCTGTGACTGAATCCTACCTAACCTAAGTGCCTGGAGGTGGCTCTTCATGTCAGAATTCTACTCCAGGCCCCAATGATTTCGTTAAAACTCAAATTTTTATCATAACCATTTATGTGTACTTTGGCATTTTGAACATCTAAAGCTAGTGTTAGTGTAAATTGAATCTCTGCTCTAAACTTGGCTCATTGTTTATATGATGGTAGGATTTTGGTTTATGCTCTTGTATGTCAAATGTTCCATCATAGTAAGTCTTTTTTTTTTTTTTTTTTAAAGATTTATTTATTCATACAGAACTGGGTACAGCCCAGAAATGGGGAGGGTGAGAGGATTCACCAGAGACAGAGTGGGGAGCAGAACAGGCAGATCGATGAAGCACACTGCTGAGGGGAGCAGCGGGCAGGCCAGGAGAGGTCTCCCGCACCATGTGGATCTCCTCCGGGGCAGGCGGGGATCAAACTCATGCAGAAGTGGCTTAAGCTTCTTAGTGCTGTGCTTTAACCCACTGCGTCGCCAGGGAGGCCCCCCCTTTTTTTTCTAGTGCCCATACAATTATACAGTAAGTTTTCATCTCATAGATGAACATATAATAAATATAATAAATATAATAAAACAAGAAGTTGTTTGGATCAGTTAGTATCTGTAACCAGGATAATATAAATAAATATAACTTAATCATAAGTTATTTTTGTTATTCAATTTAGAATCATATAGTAGAATCATATAGTGCTTTTCATGAATCTCAGTCTATATTTTAATGAAAACCAAATCTTTTAATTTAAGAGTTTGGGTTATATCAAATAGAGGTCAGATATAGTCTACTAAAACATTTTTTTAAAGACTGATATATTTTTATCTATTTTTGCATACAAGAGCTAGTGTGTAGGCCATAGGTGTGGGGGGGGGGGAGTGAGGAGGGAAAGAATTCACCAGAGGCCGAGTGGGGAGCAGAACAGGTGCCTCTACTGAAACACACTATTGAGGAGAGCAGTGGGCAAAACAGGAGAGGTCTATGCTATGTGTGTCAGCTCCCTGGCCAGGGATCGAAATCAAGCCACAATGACTGGCCAACCTTGATAGCTCTGAGACTCAGGAGGACCCCTCTAGTAACATTTTGTGTTGTTGTTAGTAAATTTAAAAACTAGATATTTATTACATATTTTTTCAGCTTAATATTAGCCTATGGAAATTTGAGGTACCCAGAATTACTCTAGCAAAATATAGGAAAATATTTTAAATGTTTCCTTTGCCTAGAGTCCCTGTTTCTTAGAAAATTAATGAACTCATTAGATTTTTATAGAAGTCACAATGGAATCTTTTTTAAGTTAGCTATCATAATATTTATAAAGCAAAGTCATTTTTAAGACCTAGTGTGCCCAGATGTGATGTTCAACAACATAGCCTTTATCCATCCATTTATAAAATTGAGTTACAGAGTAGTTATTATGCTCACAAATATTTATTCAGTCTTCATGAATTCAGTTTTTTTTTTTTTTTTTTTGAGAGTGATAGATGGGGTCATCAGATAGAAAGAAATTACTATATCATTCACAGTGGGAATCTTTTGAATTTCATAATTGGTGCCTTTCCACAGCAATATTTTTTACAGGTTGACATTTTCAACTTACATGGCTTAAACACTGAAAATCATAGATTTCCTATCCATGCAGTATTTTAATATCATAAATATTTAAAGAGACATACCTGGGGGTATTTTCTTGAGCCTCAGCAGGCAGGCCTAACACCAGGTCTTCAGAGAAGCATGAGCTATTGTATTAGCTTTAGCAGTAGCAACCTCATTGCAGGACTACTGGCTGTATTCAAAAATTTCCTTTCCTTTTGTGTGGTTTTAAAATGTTACTGACGTAGATGAAACTGTGGTTTGCAAATAATTTAACTGTGAAAACCTCTAAAGAAGTTCTTTTTATCTTTGTTATGTTTTCTTAAGCAATTCAAATTTATTATTTCAGAGGCAATATCTTATTTGTTCATTGTAGCATCTAGTTTGTTTTCTTTTTTTGGACATTCATATTTATATCATATTGATGTTAAAACACATCAAATTTTGTGCCTTGAAAGGAGTTCCTTTAAAATACATACTGATCTTGATCAGCCTTTCAATAATTTAAAATACTATTGCTCTTAGGGTTCTGCTGAGACACCTATTAAAAAAGAAAGACATGACATAACGTAGACTGGTAAAGTATATGGTTTAGTTTTTTTTTTTTTTTTTTTTTGTTCATTGTTGAAAAATTTGGAAATAGAAGGAAAATCATTATGGGACAGAGAATAGAGAGAATTACTTTTTGACACAAACATTTAAAAAAATTTCTACATGTAGGTGTATGCATACCCACTTACAATGTTACTATATGTGAGTACCATGTTATAGTATGCATTCTTTTATTCAATAATATATTGTATTTGTTTTTAAAATTTATGAAAATAGGTATTTAATGAGCACTTGTCAGTTTGATTCAGACAACTTGTAAATTGAGGTAAGTATTTAGTAATTCATATATTATAGAGAAAGAGATCCTTTAAAACATTTAAATTGAGTAAATGTTCATTGTGTCTGTGCTGAGCAGATGTTTCCTGAGTATCTGATAGGAGCCCAGCCTGGGGGTGAGTGTCAGGAAGGGGAGCTAACAAAAAGTCCCTGCCTCACCAGTATCCACAGATGTCTGTGTTGGATGTCTTTCTTTTGTAAGGGTAGTCTTTATAAAACAGAACAATAAGCTTGTGTACCGAGGATATTTTCAGATATTCTAAGTCAGCTGCTCCAAAATTGACTTACTAAGTGCAAAACCTTTGTCTGGTTTGGTTCCTTCTATCAGTGCTTTGGTTTTTTATATCTTTCTCCTGATAAACTTTCATTCCGTTTTCCAGGTTTAAAAAAAAAAAAAAGTCAGAAGAAGCTTCTCCACAATCTAAAATGAATCACTTTTGATATTAGCATTTAAAGTGAAAATGTCTTAACAGATAAAGTGAGAAATGACAAATTAAAGGGAATTGAGAAGAATGTTAGGGAAATTTTTGAAAAAACAAATTAAGTGTGCTTGTGATAGTGCCATTTGCTACAGATATTCTGGTCTTCTTCCCAAAAGATGTAATTACTATTTTGCAAAAGCAGGCATTTCATGTATAGTCACTTGTATATTACTTGGAATAACCCAGATCTTTCTCAAACTTTGTGTTTGGTTTTGGTTAAGAATTAGTCTTAACACCTATTATAACAGTTCTAGGAAATAATGTTTCAAAGATCTGTTCATAGTTGTTGGATTAGACTCACTCTGAAAAAGACTTACAGATGGTTCAGTAAGTGTTCAGTTATGGCTGGGGTGAATTTACATTCACCCACTGCTGGGTAGAGACTTGAGATGGTGAGAATTTGGAGAGAATGGAGTCGACTACCAATAAGTGTTGACATGGTATGAAGGAAAACCCAGAATATAGGGTTTTTGATGCGTTTTCTTTTTGGAAAGGTTCCTGTTTATTTTGGGGCTACACACAGAATTGAGAAGTGCATCAACTGTTTTTAAAAAAACTAAGGCCACACTTTTTTTTGTTGTTTGGATTTCCAAATCACAGAGCTAAAATATTTTACTTCTCAGTCTTCTAGTTCCTTTTTGGAACGATAAAAAAAAAACCCAAACCATTATTCTTTATTATTGAAACTGAGCTGTATTATTCATTTTGAGAGTGAATCTGAGGTAATCTGCCATTTTGTGGAAGTTTATATTTTTTTGCTATTAATTTTTTTCTTTTTTAAACATAAATTCCATTTCAATTTTCTGTTTCATGAAGGACAAATCTTTTTGAGAACATATTTTTTTAGTGTTCCAGGAAACTGCATGCCACCATTAACCTAGTATTTGAAACCCAAGGGGGAAGAATGAGTTGAATTTATTTTTCTCTTATCATGGCAATACTTTTCCCAGGATCATGGCAATAGTTTTTGCTTAAGAAATGATATATGGGTATTTTGGATGTGTAAAAGTAAAGGTATTGAAGGTAAATTGTTCCATAACTGAAGATTTGGGGGGGAAAAACTGTCTTTGTAGTCAACTTTCCTGTCCACAATCATGTGAAATCATGAAACTAATGAGGAAGGGAAAAATGAATTTTGGGGTCTATAGCCACTGCCACAGCCAAAAACAGGCCTATCTGAGAATCTGAGCAGGCTGTATGGGAGGAAATGGTGGAGACTTAATATTGAATATTCTCAAAGACGTTCATCAGTAAGCCATGCACAAGAAAGTACTGAGAGGAGCTTTCACCTCAGTAGTCCTGTATAAATTGTGTGCTGAATTAGAGGAGAAAGTGGAAGGCATGAAAATAGTTAGGGGATGATTGCAATCTTTTTAGGTGAGAGGCAATGAGAACCTGAAGTCAGATGGGAAGAGATGGGTAGATGAGAAATAACAGTGCTGTGGTGTGTGACCAAGATGGGGTCAGACCTCATTTCAGCCCCAGGAAGGGGAAATCTGAGGTGAGAATCAGGTTTGACAGGTAGAAGGGTATTTTTGGCTTACTTTTTGCTTTTATTTTGAATAATATTTTTATTTTCCTAACTACTTTAATAGTATTTACCAGATAAGAAAACACACGTGATTATGGCATTGCAAGTTTTTAAAATAGAGGTATATTTTTATTATGAAGGTGAATTTCATGTGGAATTGAAACTGGCTGTTAGCTTATAAACAAAGTAAGGATTAACTTCTCATTTCAGTCAATAATATATCCTAGAAGCCCGGTGTTCTCTCAGAAAGTTAATGTTATAAAACGAGACATAAATAACAGCTTGAAAGATGCTGCTGATTAAGAATATTTTAGCTTGGAAAAGGGAATATCAAGATATTATTTCAAGTTATATGAAATATGGTGACTGAGAGCCTTCTTGAGTGTCATTTTATGTCAGAAAATGGAATGGCAGGAAAGTAAACACTCAGGGCTTTCTAATATATGTTACAAGGAGGCTTGCTAGTTCACCATAGATGTGGTACGTGGAGGGGAGGGGCAGCAGTGTAGCTATAGGCTTGCCCTACTGACACCCTGTGGGTTAGAGCTGGTGACAAATAGAGCCAGGAAGAGAACAAGAAGATGACCTGGTGTCTAAAGTCCTGCATTGCAAATTTCCAAAGACTTTAATTTAAAAACATTCAAGAGGTGGGTAAGATGAGCTGGGCAACGGATCTTAATAGGAACATGAGAGAAATCATTGAAACATGCCTACCTTATGCATACACGTACATATTTGTATACAACAAAAATAACAAGTTGTCATTATTACAGTTTATCAGTGCAAATACTTTTCAGTGTCTAGTTGTTGCTGATTGGGCCTATTTTTACCAATTTACGACCTCATCTGTACTCAGATTTTAACTTCTGTATTTGTTACAGTAAGATCTTGGTGGTGGTGGGAGGGATGAGGTTACTTTTCACATTCTATGTAATCCCTGAAGCTGAGCATTTTATATTGTGGAATCATTTGTTTCTTTTCTGTAGTTAGTGTAATGAGAAGGTTGGAATGTATACCTCAGGTAAGTAGTATATTTATACTCTATCAACATATAAATAGTATATTTCAGTAATACAATATTTAATCACTTCGTGCAGCAATGCTATGAAACAGTTAAAGCTTTGTGAAAAGTATTAAAGTACTACTTTTTTTCAGGATGTCCTTTCATGATACTGTAATTCCCCATGCCATTCACATCTTGCAGAACATAGGTGACCAGAAGAAAGTGTAGTGACTTTTACCTTTGAAATTTCTCTTGCATCTCAAACACAAACTCTTAACATGTGTTTACCCAAAAGGAAATCCCAGGCCTTTTAACTTTGGGGGAGGGTGAAATAGATGATCCATTATGTTCATGATTTTTTAAAAAAAGATTCATTTTTATTTATTTAAGTATGGAAGAACTGGGGTGTTGGCCAGAGAGGACCCCACCATAGACAGAATGGGGTATAGAATAGGAAGATAGCCTGAAATATACTGCTGAGGGGAGCAGCGGACAAGACAGGAGAGGTCTGCTGCATCATGTGTGAGTCAACTCCCTGCCTAGGTATTGAGCTCACACCGAAGTGGTTATAGTACTGATACATAACCCTTATGCCACCAGGGAGACCACTGTTTTGTTTGAGTCTTTGATATACCTCTTAATGTTACAAATATTTCATGATTTAATATTCTTTTTTGTTTTCTTTAAAGTCAGCTGAAAGATACAGGTAGTAGCAATTGTGTTAAGAACACAGTTGAAAAGTAAAGCACAAACTTTTACCACTCATCATCAACAAGAAGCAAAATTTTGTGTAAGGATATTTTCCAGAGTGTCTACCTTTGAGATGAAACCAGTGTATTAAGCCTTTTTTTCATCTGTAGGTGGCAGAAAAAAATGAAACTGAAATTTGGCTTGTGCAATGAAAAAGTTATATTAACTGATAGACTAAATGTCAGAAGTTGTGGGCATGATTTTAGGTCGGGGTTGATGCATAGCTCAGCCGACATTACCAGAGCTGGGCTTGTACAATCTCCAGCACCTTCCATCCTGTTAGTTTCAACACACAGGAAGCTGTAAACTCTCCTTTTTTGGTTGCAAAATGAAAGAAGCACATCTACACTTGACTTCTTAGCATCAAGTCCTCCAGAGAATTTTTTGAGAATCTGGGAGTATCTCTCTTAGGGTCAAAATGAGTAATGATACATCCCAGCCAGTGGAATCTGACAAGCTGCTTGTCATGCTGGCCTACTCCTGTTTTTTTGGCCAGTAACCTCTGAGATAATACATGGTTGAAAACAGGTAAGGCTGAGTTTTGTAAAGTGAAAAGTTTTGCTTTTATTGCTCGAAAAGCTCATAAAGACTGAGGGAGTGTGATCAATAAATGAGTTAAATGAGTAGTATCATAGTATCATTGTGGACCACTCTTTTTTTTTTTTTTGTAAAAAGACCCTTGGTGGGTTCACAGAGTTCAGTGGGCAAGTTTCATATGGAATCTTTTTCATATGTCTATGATCTTCATTTCTTGTTTCTTTCTCTCTGCAAAGTTTCTTTTTAAAAAATACTTTAGAGCCACTTTTGAATATGTTTCCATTAATTTCTGCATTCCTGGATCCAGCAAAGTGCTGTTGGTTTATTTTCCATAGATGTTTTAATTTCTATCCCTTCATTTAAAACGTGTGTAATTTTTACATCTGTTGGAGAGAGCTGGCTGTTCTAGGTGAGGCTTCAGTTCTCCGTTTAAAGTCACCTAGCTTGCTTTATTTTGCTTTCTTACAAACATGTCCAGTTGCCTTATTTGCCACCTCAGGTACTCAAGTTTACAAGCCCTGCCTTATAGGAGCATCTAAGCATGTGAGCACTTGCACAAGAGCCTTACCTAGAAGGAATTAGAACCTGTTTCTCCTTTCCCACTACATCAGAATTCAGAAGCTTCTGGTTCAGCTGTAATTTCTGGCTGTAGTTTCCCACTTTATTTTTGTTGTAGTCCTGGGCCTGAAAGTTCTCACTTTCATTAACTGTTACTTCATAGTATATTTTCTTCAGGTTGTTTTCTTGAAATATTGTGCCTTACATTACTGATGTGCATTGCACACTGGTAAAAAAAAAGGCATGATTTGCTTTCACTTATCTTTTTGTCAATTTCTCCTGTGGCCCATTGAGTACTTTTAAAAGCACTATTATTTACTAATTTGTCCTGCCCAAAGAATTTGTAAGCACAGCCATTTTTTTTGCAAATACATTTAGCCAAACAATACAGCAAATTTAGTTTTACCAAGCATGTTTATCACATATAGTTGATTTTGTTGCATTTTGAGAGAGAGTAATTGATTCTGAGATGGGTTCTGGAAGCTGTTACGTAAGTGGAAAGTGGGCACCAAGTGTGAAAACATTCCAAGATTTTCCTGAACTTAAGGCAATTTTTCTGAGTTTTGCCTAAAATCTGATGTTCTAGGTCCTTCCTAGAGCATATGAGTTGCACATTTTGAAAAGTCAGTGCCAGTTTAAATTTTGAATTCTTTATGTAGTTGTCTTCCTTTATTAATTGGTAATGTATCCTCAACTATTTATTAAGAAAAATTTGAATTTTTTAAGTATAATTCTTTATTAGTGCACATAAAGTAAAACATGCAGTAAATAAAATATATTTTATAAACATGACTTATAAAACTGTATGGGAAGAACATTTGAAAATTGGCGTTGAACGTCTTGTAGCCTGTTACTCACAGAAAGAATTTAGTTTTATTTTTCACTTATTAGCTAGTAAATATATCCTGTATCTTCATATATTTAATCATACGTTTTTCAGGGAATATGAAAGGTGAATTTTCCTTTTAATGTATAATTTCTCAGTCATTACTATAAATTTTAGATTTTCTTTATATCAAGTTCTAGCTACATTTGGAAAAGCTGCCTCTCTGCCCCTGAAGAATAAGATAATATGTATAGCCTGCCAGGGTATGTGTACGTGTTTTTTCCCCCAGGTCATCTTCCTTTTTTTCCCCATATCATTGACCCTATCAGTGACATTGCAACAAATGCCATTACCCAGTTTCTAATCAGACTCTGCTTGGATAATATTTAAAACCAGAGCTCCAGGGACATTAAGTGACTTAAATAGTGGAAGCATTTTTAAAATATATATGCCTTCCTCAAAATGCTATCAGAAAAAAAAAAAATCTCGCTTTTTATTGGGAAGTACCTAATTTATTTATATTTGCTTTCCCATGAAAGTGATTTTTCTAGTTGTTCTTTTAATCCTGATTTTAAAATCCTGATCTTTTTTGAGTCAGAGGAAACTTTTCTTTTTTCACTGTAAACCTGTCTCTGGTCTTTTCTTAAACCATGCCTGCTTTTAAGTTGCTCTTTAATGACCCTGTTGAAAAAGATAACATATGCTAGTGAAGAATTATGCCTCTGTGAATGGCCTTAGTTGCTGTTTTGTTTGTTTTTTAAAGTACTACATTAAGTGACTAGTGATTATAAACTTAAACTTATTTTAATGGGGTTAGATTGAATAATGTTTTATTTTCTTCTTTGATGTTACAACAGAGATGTAAACTTACATATTTAGGTTCATTATTGTATTAAATTGGTCAGTTTTGCTTAGACATGACATGATCATAGTCCCTTTTTTATTCGCTTATTGTAATGAGGATTAGAGTCTGTATGCATGGACTTAATTTGAAAGGAAGTAGAAATTCACAAAGTATCTGTACTTTCATGGATTGTATTTCCTCGTTTGGTTTTGGAGTTTTCTGAATTATGCCGAGATTTTAGTGGGATATGCAATTTCTTACATAAGATTTCTCTAAATGGCTGGCATAGAAAGAAATAGATAATGGGATCCAGGCATACATTAGCTGCTGACAATAATAGAGTGAATTCCTTTACATAGAGCAAGATTTCTTTTAACTGGCACTTGTAATAAGGTTCTGTTTGGCTCTGAGTGTAGGGGATCCTGGCAACATGATAGGGCACAAAGCAGACAGCAAATACCAGCATGATGCTGAATATATTGCGGCTAGATTTCTTTTTGACTGAAATGGAATTCTTTCTAGACTTAAGGTGGGACTTAAAGATTTTCCTTGTGATAGCAGTATAGAAAATGATTAACAGAATAAACACAATCCAGAAGGTGCCCACAAAGATGTAATTTGATGCTGTGTGCCACTTCAATCCCAGTTCACTTTTAAGTTCCATACATTCTATTCGTGTCACATCCTTGACTCTTTGGTTGGTCAGGATTATGTTGGGAATGGCGAGGAGGATTATCAGCAGCCACACCATTAATGACAGGAGTTTGCTGTAATTCACTGATTGGATGAAAGAAGTTGAAAGAGGCTTTACGATTTTGTAATACCTGTCGTAGCCAATGAACCCAAAGAACACGATGCTGACATACATGTTGACGTAGAAGAGCACAGCAGAGACCCTACATACAAACACATTCAACTGCCAGGGGCCTATGCCTGAGTCATTGAGAATTTTGAAAGGAAATGTCAGGTTCATCACAAAGTCAGCAACAACGATGTTCTTGAGATAGACAATGAAGCTCTTTGAACTGGGAACGTGAAGGAATATCCACCCGGACACACCATTCAGCACAAACCCTGCAGCAAAGACCACACTGTACAACACAGGAATGATTTGCTGAGTTATGAGTATGTTTCTTGGGCAGAGCTCCTCTGGAGGTTGTGTGCTGGTGGAATTTGACATCTTGTAACTTTGAAGGCGAGGCCTAGAAGGAAATGTGAAATAGTAATTCAGAGCACTGTTACAGTCACCAGGTAATGAGCAGAGGCAGCGAATACAGGTACACATTCCTTCTTTCTCTCCTCTTTCACTTCCTTGAGTAAATAGAATAGACAGGTGATAGGAAAGAACAATTCAAGAAGCAGGTCAGTCTCAGAATTCTTAAGTTATAGAAGGGCCAGAATTTCTCTAAAATAATATGTTTTTGAAAAACTGAAGTTCTAGCACATATTCATTTAAATATAGTCTCAAAAAGTAATAAAACTGAAAACAGAGAAGCAGTTTCATTTTATTCTGAACTCTTTCTGTTTCATATATTAGACTTTTAAAAAAGCCTCTCTAAATATATTTTGGACACAAGACAATGTTTTGTATTTCTGGTGCCAAGCATGGGGCTTTTATACAAAGTGAGTGAAGAGTTAAGTGAATAAAGTGAAAGAAATATGAGAAAAGTAGAACTTGGGCATGTAGCATATGAAATTGTCAGATTCTGCATAAAAAGTCTACAAACTTTATATGCTTGTTCCTATGCCGGAATGTGGCAAAACTAGTATTTTCTAGCTACTTGATTTTTAGAGCCCCTGCTCTTTTGAAAGGAAATATCATCCTCTGTGTGCTTGGCTCAGACCATGATGAGTTTATAGTTGTTTCTTTGTAGGTCTTCTGTGCTAACATTTGGGCTTTGTTTTCTATTTTTAACTGACGGCTTGCTGTCATAGAAAATTGGTTTCTCATAATTTGTTTTATAGTCAGATGCATCTCGAGTCAGTCTTACAGAGCTTGAGAGAATGCATCTTTCAGTACATGCCTGGCATTCCTGGGGCACACCTGTGTAGTTGGTGTGGTGCTCATGCTAGAACCCAGGAATTGCTGACTTCTCCAGAGTTTAAAATGTAAAATAGCAGAAAATGTAGGTGCTGATACATTTTGAGGAGAGAAAAATATTAGTTATATAATAATACTGTAGCATAGTGAAAAGTTTTCAGATGTGATTTAATCTGTGCACAATCCATTCCTTACAGAACAGTTATAGGAACCACTGTACAATGAGAAATAGTAAATAATTTCTCATAAACGATTTCACAAGAGTCACAACTTGTATCCTTAATGGAACTCTGTCTTCATGGAACTCTGTCTTCATGGAACTCTGTCTTCATAGAACTCTGTAAAGCTGTTTTCTCAGGGCCCTCCCTAGTGGCGCAAATGGTTAAAGCACAGCACTATGAAGCTATCCACAGCTGCTTCAGCACAAGTTCGATCCCACCCAGGGTAGTGACCCACGTGGCACAGCAGACCTGTCCTGTTTTGCCACTGCTCCCTTCAGCAGTGTACTTCATCAGTCTGTCTATTCTGCCCTCCACTCTATCTCTAGTGAATTCTTTCACTGTCCATGTACCTCTGGCCTATATTTTAGTTTTGTATGCATAAATAAATAAATCTTAAAAAAATAATGTTTTCTCGAGTTCTGTCACTTCTTTTTTTTTGAAAATTTATTTATGCATACAGACCTGGAGTACAGGTCAGAGTTGCAAGGGTGGTGAGAGGATTCACCAGAGATGGAGTGGGGAGCAGAACAGGTCGACTGGCAAGTACACTGTTAAAGGGAGCAGCGGGTGGCCCAAGAGTGGTCTATCATGCCATGTGGATCACCTCTGGGGCAGGGATTGAACTCATGTTGAAGTGGCTTTAGCTTAGTGCTGTGCTTTAACCTGCTGTGCCACCAGGAAGGGCCCACTACTCTTTTTGAGTTGCAGTATTTCTACAGATAGCCTGACACCAGAAGTCCTGAACTGGGTGCTGAGATTCCTTAGAGTGTTGTGAATCTGAACACCTGTGCCCTTGTGAAGCTTGCCTTCGCTCCTGATGTGAGGCTAGAGGAAGGAGCTGACTGATCCATTCATGCTAATAAAAACTTGTAGAGCAATTACACCTTCTGAAGTGGAGTAAATGCAAGACTAACTTGGAGGTTTCCCCCCAGATATCTTGCCATTTTGACACATTTTGAGATAATGGCAGATAAGAGGTTGCGTTTAAGATTGGCAGTGGTTGAGATGTAGTGAGTGAAAGAAGCAAGGATTGCTATAGCCCAGACTGCTGGATAGATACAATGAAGACCATAGATAAGTACAATCTGCAAGAATAGTGACTACAAAGTAAATTCCAAGACAGCTTTGGTGGTAATTTTCTAGCTCTTCAATATTTTTCACTAGTGGAGCATTGAGTTGTCTGGGCACGTGTTTTACCATACCTAATCTGCATTTCAGTGAGGCAGCCTTTTCTACAGTGAGAAATTGAGAAATGTGTGAAAAAAAAGGAGCTGTCTTAAAGTATCGACAGCAAGTGAGGCCAACTCTAAATTGAGATCAAAAGGCAGGAATATGTACTGGATAAAAAACAGGACAAGATTGTAGCAGTGATGCATATCACTTTAACTTAGAACATGTGCCCATTCTTCTCTCCTTACCTTTAGTATAGAGATGACAATGTTATAGTAAAGGGATGAGCAAAACTTCAAAGCCTTTCAAAAGTGGAGGAAATACTACAATACTGATATCGACTTTATACAGTAACATAAAAATTAGTAAGAACCAAATGAATAGGAAAGAAAACAAACACTGTCTTAATGTGATCCAGCAATTCTCTATTTATAACTTGTTTTAATCCATTAAAGAGAGATAGGCAAAGGAGAAAAAAGAGAGGAGAAGGACCCCTGGCAGATGATTAAACAAGAAGTGGGTATTCTAAAGTGTAAGCCAGTTTATGGAGCTGAAGCCAGCCTTGCCCATGGCTGTCACTTCTGAGATTATCTCTGAATAAGGAAAGTGGTCATTACGTTAACAGAGTTCCCTAAATACTTGAGACTATACTGAAAGTTTTCTATACATGAAAAACATTTTTTTAAAGGGATACTTAGTCATTTAAGTCTTTGACTTCTCTAAAGTAAAGCTCTTTCTTATTTCACAAATCAAGGCAAAAGGCTAAAATGGCAGGAACTATTTTAGCCTGAACTTAAAACTTTGGGTTTCTGGTAACATATTTAAAGAACATGTTGAAATGGGACTTGCAAGCTCCATGTGATAGGATTATTGTTTTGCCTCAATTTTTTTTTTTTTTCACAGCCAGAATGTCAGTGCCAAAGATTCATTTTAATCTAGATAGTGGACTCACTTGTCCCTTTGTGCAGCACTGTCCCTAGGACTGTGCTTTGTTAAGTATTTTCAAGCTAGAATATGTGACCTCAGGGATCTCTGGGCAGAACTGAGTTGATATAGGCTGTGGAATGCTTGTTCTGGAAATGGACTCATGTTAATAAAAACAAGTGTGGTTGGCCTAAACTCATTGTTCATCTTGTGTGTAATTACATGCAGTGGTTTATTTGTCTCACATACCTGGACTACTCTAAACACATGGACCATTGTAATCATGTGCCATAAATCTACTTTTCCTGAAGTTACTCCTTTATAACAATTTGATGATATTTTAACAATTTGATTATATGGCAATGCTGGGAAGTTTTTAATTACCTTTATAAAATTTTTAATGAGATTTCTTTTCAATGAAGTAATTTAGTCCAGTGCATACTTGTCATCTTGAAGTGGTCAGAGTCCTTTATACTGATTATCCTGTGTTATAGGAGAAAGGTGAAGAATTAATTAAGTTAAATGAATACCAGAATGATTTTATTGCAGAGGTATGTATGGTAGCAATATATTTCTTAAAGTCAGCCTGTGTAATGTTGAACTATTTCATCATGTGTATTTGCTGCTGTTTTTCTGTATTTGGTCTTTTTTGTCAATACGGATGATTATTAATTTGGTATGAACTTTTTTGTGAAAATTAATAAGCTTTTTATTTGAAAAGCAAGGTATTTGACATGAAGTGTTCTTAATTAATGGATTATCTCTTCATCCCCAACCCCCAGTTGGTATGACTGCTCAAATTATTAGCTTATTAAATTATTGATTTGCAGTTGATAATATTAGAATATTAGCCAGATAATCATAGGCAAGCCATCTTTTTTTTTTAATTTTAAACCTTTGCACTACTGACATTTTAGCCCAGATTTTTTTTTGGTAGCGGACTGGCCCTCTGTTTAGAAGCCTCTCTTGCTTCTATTTTAGATTCCATTAGCACTATTCTCCTCATGTGACCAAAAAAAAACAAAAAAAATTAGAAATTGTCTTCTGTCTCTGGGAGGCCAAATTGTCCTATTTGGTAACTACTGGTCTGATGAATCTGATACATCTGATTTGCAGAGATGACTCCCATCTTTGCAGAGGAAACAGTATGCTTGGCAGGAGGTGGTTGATTTGGTTCTGCCTTGATCTAGGTTGTAATTTTTCTGAATTGTTTAAACCAGCCCTTTACAAATTTTAATGTGAATACCTATTACCTGAGTCTTGCTAAAATAAGTATTCAGATTCCATAGTTTTGAGGTGTTGTAGTTATTATGCTGTGAGCTCAAAGAGTACTCTGTGAATAGAAGTTTGTTTTTTTTTTTTTTCTTTTTTGGTCTTTTTTCTGAGCCTCTTCACACAAGGGTCATTTTACTGATATTTGGTGAAGACAGTAAAAAACTAATTTTTCTTTGTTGTAGCTGGGATTCCAGCAAAGAAAAAGTTCCATTATAGAAAACCCTGGAAACTAGAATGTTTCTCAGAGTTTAGTCTTATTTTGTTATTCATAGTCTTCCTGTTATTAAGGTCTCTTGAAAATGGAGATTTATCATTAATGGACACCTACTTGACAACAGATGTTAAATAATATCTTATATGTACCTAGAATATTCCTCAAAAGTAATGAAAGTTCTTTTCAGAAACAAAACAAAGAAGTGAAGTTCTCTATGGAGACAATATAATAGCATATGATTCCGGGCAGTCTGAACATGTCTGGTCGACAGTGATTTATTCTAGCAAATGTCAACTCCTGGGGAGGAATGGGAGAGCTATTGATGACATAGGGTGGTTGTGCTCTAATTTTTACATTCTGAATCAGCTATGCCTAGATGTTGTCCTCAGTCACCCCAAGGTGCAAGTACAACATTATAAACATTATAAACATTAGTTTCTCTACTTTCACTCTTATGTATTTAAAATATTTCATAATTAAAAGTGTATATGGAATGAAATGCTTTCAGAACACCCTTTTATCAAACCCACCTATGATGGGCATTTACTTTCCTGTTATTTGTTCAGTTCTAATACAGCAGTGCTTCTTGGGCCTTCTGGTTTTGGAGGGGTTAATGATACAGGGCTATCAAGCTATTGCTATCCACTGCAACATGAGTCTAATGCCTGCTCCCAGACAGTGAGCCGACCCATATGGTACAGCAGACCTTTTCCTGTTGCACCTCTCAGCAGTGTAGTTCATTAGATCCCCTTGTTCTTTTCCCCACTCTGTCTCTGATGAACCCTCTTTCATATCCCCCATGCACCTCTGATCTATACCCAGTTCTTCAGAACTGAGGTACAGGCCAGAGGTGCAGGGACAGTGAGAGGATTCACCAGAGACAGAGTGGGATAGTCCTTGTAAACCCTCTGTTTCAGACTTAAACAATTTAATCAAAGGTGCATTTATGAAAGAGGTAAATGACTGTTTATAGATGATTCTAATAGCAGCAAGAAATTAGATAGATATGTATAACTATTGTGTGTATATATATATATATTTTTTTTTTCTAAAAAATTGTTCATTCATTCATGCATAACTGGGATACAGGCTAGAGGTGCATGGGCAGTGAGAGGATTCACCAGAGACAGAGCAGGGAGCAGAATAGGCAGATCTAGGAAGTACACTGCTGAGGGAAGCAGAGGGCAGGTAGGAGAGGTCTGCCATGCCATGTAGGTCACCTCCGGGGCATGACAGGGATTAAACTCATGCTCAAGTGGCTTTAGCTTCTTGGTGCTGTGCTTTAACCCACTGCACTACCAGGGAGGGCCCCCTATTATATATTATTTAACTCACTAACATTGTTTCCTTTTTGTTGCTTCTTTTATTACCCTTGACCTAATATGTGTATCAACAAAAGTGTGACCAATTTGAGATATTATTGGTAATTTTCAAAATGGATTGCATAGTAAAAGGGGTTTATGTATGGTCTATTTATTTAGTGTTGTAGTCATTTAAAAAATATTTTGTTATTAAATACTTCATAACATACTTCATAATCTAAAAAACATATATTTTTTAATATTTAGTAGTATTAATTAACTCAAAGTCTTTCTTGTCCCATGGTCTGTTGGGTATTTTAGACCTTTCTGCCCCCTGACTTTCGGTCTTGCCTCTCTCCCTATATTGTTACTCCATGGAGATGGGTGTATATGTTTGGGAGAAAGTCATTGTAAGTATGTCAGATGATTTTATAGAAGTTAGTGTGCTTACTCTATAAGTAACCATTTTATGGTTTCTCAGAAACCCTTCTTTTTCTTGGCTCCCAGGCAACTTCTGACTGGGGCTGTGTAACCCAGTTCTGCTCTTCCTACAGCTCTTATCTGGACTTTCTTCCTTTCTACTCACAACCAGTGGGAATCTCACTTTCCCCTTTACTGAGAAGAACGAATGTCTCTTGTCTTCCTTCTTGCTCTGAACACTTAATGTTTGACACCTCCTGCAGTTTTGAAAAGCTACTTGGGACTTAATTTCTAAATTATTTTTTCCTGTTTGTCCTATTGCTTCACCACAAGGCAGCATGTGATGGATCCTTTTTTAGGTACCTTGTAACCCTGGCTCTTTTATATCTGTGCTCTTTATTCCTTTGCCAAGATATTTTGTTCATTTGCTAATTAAAACCATCAGAACATGTCTGCCAGGCACTGTAGAGATACATCAACCACAGGGGACTTTTAAAGAAGGTTCCAGTCTAGGGGGACCTGGATAGAGTGGTGCCTTAAATACAGCAGGGATTGCTATGAGAGGAAGAGGTAAATTCAGTGGAGTGAACCCCTGGACAGCTCCAGGAATGATGTGTCAGGGCAGCCTTTCTACATATGACTTATGAAAGCTGACAAATGAGTCAGCTTTAGCCAGGTGAATATACAGAATTGGAGTTTTGGATGAGAGAATGGCTAGGCATGAACATCATGATGTGTGGGTGGATAACATAGCAAGTCAGGGTCTAAGTTCTTGGTTAGCATGGTAGAGCCTTACCAGTGAGCTAATATTACTGCCATTCTGTAAATGAAAAACACTGGTGTTAACATGGTAAGTACTCATAGGAGGGGAATTAGGCAGCTAATACATAGCCAGTCATAAAGTTTAGATCAGTTGGACTCCAGTTTTTCCCTGGCCCTGAGGAAAGGTAGAGGTAGCACATTCTGTGTGTTTGTGAGATGAACATATTTACAGACCCTCGGCTTGTAGGAGTCTTGCATATACGAGTCACTTCATAGGTGATTTTTTTTGGATATAAAGTGGCTACAGGTATGTGAATCAAGTGTTAGGTACTATTGTTCTTAATTTTAAGGATCTGCAAGATATGGATGCCTTTAGTTTCTCCAGGTAACCAGGTTATAGAGATCCTCCATTTTTTCAAGTTTAAATAATATAGGAAATGTTTAAAAATGAGCACTTCTGATTTTTGATTTTACTTCAGGTTTCTATTTCTTGCCTGAGTGTCCATGGAGAGGTATAAATCAGACTGTTGATAAAACAAATGCCATTAATCAGTAACTGGTGGAAAATTGCTGCCTGTGGTTCAGATGTCACATGTGAGCCGTCTGAGAACCTGCTGCAAGGAAGACTCTGCCTGACGCTGCTTTTCCCACCTTAGCCAGTGTTTTGAGCTCTTGATGAAGTCTGACTTGACCCCTCTAATTCCTGGCCAGTAGGGCCTATTGTTCTCTAGGAAAAATAGGTTAATGGCAGGCATGCTTTAGTTGGACTTATAATTATAAAGGCCATGGTCACATACTTTGAGGAGCTAATTGGCTGCCACATTAGGGATGACTATGTTTTAATACCTAGGACTATGCACATACCCAGGAATTTCCTTTTTCATCAGTACAAAAGCTCAGCTCTGTCTTGATGTCACACCTTCCTTCTAGACTTTCCTATTCACAGACTCTAGAACTCATAAAGGTCACAAACCAGTGAATGTCTGACACTGAGGCAACCCTTGATTTGGTGTATGATGAGCAGTGAGTAAGTAATCAGCTAATGAAACCGAAACCCATTCTTCACTTTGAATACTAGCCACCTCCCTTAAAAAACTTTCAGTTAAACTTTTATAGTAAAGTATGACTGGCATATCCAAGAGTGCTTTTTTGTGTTTACATTTGCAATGAGTGCAGGCACATCCCGGGAGCTGCTGGAGGATGGCAAGGTGTGTTATAGGCACATAACTTTTGGGACCATGAAAATGGGTTCCCTTCATTAGGCCTGTCAGGATGGCTTTGTGGTGATTTTTACTTACAGTCTTAGATAGTGTTCAGGATTTCTCAATCTTGTTTGCACCTTTGATATTTTGTTGTCTGGGGGTTGGGGTGGAGGGCTTGATTCCAGTACTTTGTGTTGTCTGTATTGTATATTATATTTAGCTGCATCCCTGGCTCTATCCACTAGGTGCCAGTAGCATCCCATAACCAAAAATAACTTCAGACATTGTGAATATTCTCAAATTGAGAAC